CGTAAATATTCCTCAAAAATAATTTCCTCAAAATATAACCACCTGGGACTTAGTTTTTTTTTTCTATTCAAACTAGACGATGAACCGTCGCATTATGATGAATATAGAGAGAAGGATAACAATTCTATTGCAAGTTATATGTGGTATTCAACTGGTGATGATGATTGTGATGATAATAATTACCTTTCTTAATGTATAATTAGAAAAAATTATTATTTTTTTATTTGTATATTATTGTCCTGGCAATAATTTATATGAAATAAAGAGGGGGGGTCCCATGCCCTCACCAAATTTTATTTTTATACAATTTTTTACAATGTAATTTGTAATTATTAATTAGTGGAGACTAAGTTAACTTTTTAATATATTAAAAACTTTATTAATCTATGCTTTTACAGTTACTATTGGATTCCAGTATAAGCCTTCCAACATTTACACAATCACATGTTAATACTGGTCTATGCTACGATCACAAACTTGAGTTCATTGCTTGAACTGTTGCAGGTAAGGCAATATTCTGTTTCATTTTTATACCATTCACCATGTAATCCATAATTCTCATGTTTTCCATTGCAAATAGGGCATGGTGAGCTTCACGGCTGAGGTGATGCAAAACTATAATTATCAATTTCCCTAAAACTATTTCAGAATTTCAAGTATAGGAAGTGCTCTAAGACGGATTCGATAATTAACTCTGAATTAGGTTTGGCTTCGAATATGATAGGCTTGAAATTAGCTATTTTGATAACAAGATTTCGTTTTTCTTCTGGATCATCGGGTAAGATAGAAATTGGAAGATGAGAATTGAGATATATATTTTTGTTTATAGATAATATGCATACCTCTGTTTCATTTTTGCTATCTTCGATTTGGGAGGATCCAGGAGAATCAATATATTGCCAAGGATCTTCTCCAGTCTCTTCTTTATATTTTTTATATAGTCTAGAATAATTTTTTTATCTGTTAAAATAGTCGGTAAAGTCAATTTAGCATACCATTTAAGATAGTCATTAGTTAGTATTTTCTTATCAGAGGTAGAAGCCATGTTATCATATAAAAAATATATGTTAATTCAAAATCACGTAATGAGTGTTAGGAAAAAATAAATCTTTCAAGGAGCAAATAATTTTAATTTTTCATATTATTATGCTTTATGCTATTATCTCAATTTCAACTCCACGCTGTTCACATTTGATATAATAGGATCCGGTTTCATATCTGCCCTTCACACCATCCTTATCATTATGATCTAACTTGCATAATGGGCATGATGTCTCATCAGTAATGCCATAATAATCAAAATTTTTACTACTAAATTCTCTATATAAATTTTGATATTGATCCAATGTCTTGTTGCGAAAATAGGTGCAGTCATAAGTTGGATTAGTCCTACTTGCTTGATGTGTGATTGATGAAATCGTTTTCAGTAAAGCACTTATCTTGATTTTTTTTTTATTCGGTGAGGACCGGCACTTAATGTAATAAGAACCTTTTATGCATCGGTCAACTACCTTTCCTTCAGTATGCTTTTCTCCATATCCAGGACATAAACCCGAATTTTTAAATTCATATGCATCATTATGTCTGTTACTATTATATAAGGATAGATAGGGATATTCTTTCAAAGCCACATTAATGTAGAGAGCACGAGTATCATATGAGATGGCCAGCGTATTGACCGGACCTGAAGAATTAAAGATGTATGTTAAAGGAATAGGTGCGGTAGTTGGTGTGTTTACTTTAGGCTCAAATTTTTTGGTTATATGATTTTGTCCCTGACCAATAGTCAGCATATTACATGCTTTTTCCGTTACTTGATCTATAATATTTAAAATTTGAGAATCAGTTAATTCTGATATACTTCTTACTCCATATGAAATTTCATAAACTTTATCGATACCAATTCTTATAACTTCTTTTTTGGTTGCAGGATCAATAATCTTTCTAAATAGCCTATAAACACTCCCGACTCTTTTGGTCTTCTTATACAGATTTGATTTTGAAACATTGGGTAGAGAAGCTTTAATCATGGTGTAAACTTGAGACTTTGCAGT